GATAAATCACCTATGTTTACTCTGGCCTCTTCTTGGATCTCACAGAAAACTTGGGGGACTAAGGAGCTACAACTTGTTGGCCCGTTTTCTCCTCTGTTTTTTTCCTATAAGAAATGGTATTTTAATGGACTTAATATGTGCCAGGAACTACTTCAAGGGCTTAATATGTATTCACTCCTTTTTTTTTTTTGCGGTACATGGGCCTCTCACCGCTGTGGCCTCTCCCGTTGCGGAGCACAGGCTCCGGACGCGCAGGCCCAGCGGCCATGGCTCACGGACCCAGCCGCTCTGCGGCATGTGGGATCCTCCCGGACCGGGGCATGAACCCGTATCCCCTGCATCGGCAGGCGGACTCTCAACCACTGCGCCACCAGGGAAGCCCGCATTCACTCCTTTTATCCTCACCATAGCCCTACTGGGTAGGGACTATCATGGTTCCCATTTTGGTGGGGGGGAGTAGGGCACGAGGCATGCAGGATCAGGGATTGAACCCGTCTCCCCTGCATTGGAAGCATGGAGTCTTAACCACTGGCCTGCCAGGGAAGTCCCTTGACCCCATTTTAAAGATGAAGTAGTTGAGATACAGAGGGTCTAAGTAACATGTCCAATTTCATAGTAGATGGCAGGGTCAGGGTTCAAACCCAAGCTCTCTGACTCCAGTGCCCATGGTCTTTACCATTTCACGAACTGAAATTAGTGAGCAGACACTAAATTCCAGCCATGTGATGACAGTAGGAATATCAGTGATATAAAGATCCTTGGGGGAAAACCATATATATGGTCTTAAGCATTCAGGTCATTTGCCTCTAGAGATTGCTTTAGTTTGCACTAAAAAACAAGAACAGAAAAAGACAAAACAAAACAAAAAACTGAAAACAAAGCTAGACTGCATTGCTTAGTCCTTGAAATCTACCCTCTACCCTCAGCCCAGATCTTCTGCTACCTGCTTATCTGGGAAGCTCACATCTCTTCATAGTTGTAATCTGTATCTTCCACACTCAAGTTAGAATGCATCCTTTCTCCAGATTCCTGGTCCTCGAGGAAATGAGCTCATCTATTTGGTTCTTCAAGACCCTCCACTGGGTTCTTTCCATCAGATGCACAGGCAATCCTGACTCCCTCCCCTCTTTCCTGACGGGCTGCTGGCTTTCTCTCCCACCTCAACTTTCTGCAAACTAAACATCTCATCTCATATGCTCTCTTTTTCTTTGATTATCCACTGTTTATCCCCAACCTAAATAGAAAGAAGCCCAAACGCTAACCACCCAATCCAGGGTAACTGAGGGTCGCATGCTGGGGTCTATGACCCAGTTGTCTCTCTGCCTTCTGGGTGTCCTTGGTCTACCTGCCCCACTGCCTCTCCCATCTGCAATGCAGATGCCCCGGGGAGGTCTATAAAGGGAAAGAAAAGCTGAGCACAACCAGAGACCAGGAGGGGCCTCTCGAAATGGAAAATTAGGACATCTTCTCAAGTCTATGACATCACTGTTGCCATTAAAGAACAACCAACTCTTGTCCAGAATCTCAGGCAGGAACTTGAGTGGAGTTTCTAGAGCATGACACAGGAAGCTCATTTAATTCAGACAAATAGAGGCAAACCTAGACTAAATCAGAGAATGTTTAAAGGAATATATGTCTCACAAGCAATGTCAACTTACTGTATTTAAAACTGAACTTGTCATTTCCAGCTAAAACACCTGTTTGCCCCCCAGTCTTTGCATCCGCTGGCTTCCTTGATTTCTCCTTTTCCTTTACACCCTGTCAGCGGGTCCTGCCAGTGCCACTTCTAACACGTACCCTAAATCCTTCCATTCACCCCCATCTCCATTTCCACTTCCCTCGTCCGTGCCACCATCGCCCTCACTTGTACTCGCCCACCCACCTCCTAACTGGTCTCCCTATTTCTCTTTGCCCCTCCACGTCCATTCTCCACACAACAGCCAGAACAATCTTTTGAAAACATATATCGGATCCCGTGACTACCCTGTTTAATGCCCTTCAAAGTCTCCCGACTGCACGTAAAATAAAACTCAAACTCCTTGCAGGGCTCTGCAGTTCTGGACGCCGCTGACTTTTCTGACCTCATTACACGCCACTCTCTGACTTGGTCCCCAAACCGCAGCCACACCAGACTTTGTCTCCTCGTTGCCCTCAACTGTGGGTCCTGCACTGGCTGTTCCCTTGGCCTGGAAGACTCTTCTGCAGGAATCCACGTGGTTGGCTCCACATCATTCCTGCCTCAACTCAGATGGGATCTAGAAACTCACAACGTGCTACAGACTTGAACAGCGTTGGATGGCAGTGTGTGTCCTAAGCGAGCTCCGAGGGAGTCTAAGGATTCACTGATGAACGCAGCTGAAGGGCATCTATGCAGACAGGCCTTCCCTGACCTCCAGTCTCAACTATCCAGTGTTTATGAAGAAGATGTGGTACATACACACAATGCAATACTACTCAGCCATTAAAAAGAATGCAATGATGCCATGTGCAGCAACATGGATGGACCTAGAGATTATCATACTAAGTGAAGTCAGACAAAGACAAATATCATATGAGATCACTTATATGTGGAATCTAAGAAAATGATACAAGTGAACCTATTTACAAAATAGAAATAGACTCACAGACATAGAAAACAAACTTACGGTTACCCAAAGGGGAAAGTGGGGGGATGGATAAATTAGGAGTTTGGGATTAACAGATACACACCACTATATATAAGATAGATAACCAACAAGGAAGGACCTACTGTATAGCACAGGGAACTATATTCAATATCTTGTAATAACCTATAATGGAAAAGAATCTGAAAAAAGAATATATATAAATATATATATATATATAACTGAATCGCTTTGCTGTACGCTTGAAGCTAACACAGTATTGTAAATCAATTGCATTTCAATAAAAACTAAAAAACAAAACAAACAAACAAACTATCCAGTGTTTTATCACATTCTTGTGATGGGCTTTCTTCATAGCACCTGTGGCCACCTGGAATGATCTTGTCCACTTATTTTCTATCTTCCCCACGAGGATGAGGGCCCTCTGGTTCTTGCCTCAGGGCCAGGCCATGGCAAAGCATAAAGTACATGTGTTGTGTGAAGTTTGTAAACAGTAGCAAGGCACACACAGGGCCTGAGAACAGAGAGCACTTCGTTTCCTTCTTGGCTTTCCATTAACCAGCTGTGTCAACTTGGAAATGCTGCTTCAACTTTTTCTTCACCTGAGCTTGGATGATAATGGAGATTCTTTTTTTTTTTTTTTTTGCGGTACGTGGGCCTCTCACTGCTGTGGCCTCTCCTATTGCGGAGCACAGGCTCCAGACGCGCAGGCTCAGCCGCCATGGCTCACGGGCCCAGCCGCTCCGTGGCATGTGGGATCTTCCCGGACCGGGGCACGAACCCGTGTCCCCTGCATCGGCAGGCGGACTCTCAACCACTGCGCCACCAGGGAAGCCCTGGAGATTCTTTTAAGGCCTAAGTTCCATAACAAGTAGGAGGAAAAGGCCTAACTAGGTACAGTAACTTGCTGCTGGGCCTTTCCTAAATCGATGGGAATAGTTATTAGGCCCTGAAATGCTTCATGAATCGAGGGGAACTTAGCTTACATTCCTATAGTTTTAAAAGTCCTGTGCATTGTTTTCTAATCCTTTGTAAACTGTTCTCTGTGTAAGACATAGATAGTACCACTCAACCAATCACAGAACTTTCTATATTAAAACAGATTCATTTCTCCCCAGTGCTAGAGGGTGGGATGCTGATTAAAGTGAGTTCTGAGTTAGTCTGTGACTCCATCGATGAGCATGGCTGAAGAGCGTAGTAATGAGAGGCCTCCTCAGCATCTGAGTCTCTCACTTCACAGGTGGAAAGCTGGGCTCTAGGAGTTGTTATGAAATACAGGGGCAGACCTAGAATCCAGCTCTCTCACTCCCAGGAGCCGTCCTTTCTTCTGTACCTCACGGCTACCCGCCACCCCTGGCACAGCCACCTGGGCTCATGCCTTCTCAGTGGGCTCTGCTGAGGCTCAAACAATGCTCTGATTCTTTCAGCTGATAAAGGTTTGAGTGGCTACTCTCCCAGATACTGTCCTCTCTCTCTCTCTCTCTCTAGGTTTTCCTTTGCAGCAGAAACATCAAAGACTCCAACTTCAATAGCCCATGGTTCTGTAAGTGAAGTGGCTTTGGTGTCCCCTTCTGGATCATAAACCTAATAAGGCCGAGAACTCTGCTCTACAACCAACAGCCGTTATAAACATATATGAGTCAGTCAATAGATTAAAAAATAAATAAATCTGTGAATAAATACACTGGGGGTGGGAGATAAAAAGTAGATCTTCTCCAAGAACTGATACGCTATAACCTTGGAAAAGCTACAGTTCAGAGAGGGAACTTGAGATTTCCATATGAAAGGAAAGACTGGAATTTGTGTGTTTTTAAAAAAATTTCATCCCAGGGCTTCCCTGGTGGCACAGTGGTTGAGAGTCCGCCTGCCAATGCAGGGGATGCGGGTTCGTGCCCCGGTCTGGGAAGATCCCACATGCCGCGGAGCGGCTGGGCCCGTGAGCCATGGCCACTGAGCCTGCGCGTCCGGAGCCTGTGCTCCGTGACGGGAGAGGCCACAACAGTGAGAGGCCCGCGTACCGCAAAAAAAAAAAAAAAAAAAATTTCATCCCAAAGTTGACAACTGGCCAAAGAGTTTTCCAGCTTATTGCCTCTTCCCTAGTTTCAGGATGAAACTCTATTTGATTTGATTATATAAGAAAAGGAGAGGAGAGACTTTGGCCTGAATAACAAACCACAGGACTCTTCTTATCTAAAAGTGACCATAGAAGTATTCTCTTCATCCCTAAAACAAGGTCATTTACATACACACACAGAAAACATGCCAGCGTGGCACATGGCTTCTCTTTCCAGCTCCTTTGCCTGAGGATGCAGAGCTGATGGGCTGGGCTACATCAGTCCTAGACACTGAGAAAATCCAGGCTTCCCAGAAAATTACGAGCTGCTCTGTCCTGGCTCAACACCTCCAGCAGTTCAGCTGCCACACGTGGTTTCCTGGTTGTAATTCAGTCACGATTCTGGCTTTAGCTTCATCTACACAAAGCAGTAGCCTCCCCGGGGCTCCAAGGACCTAGGGGTCAGAGACCTCAGTTTAACTTCTGGTGTTCTGTGTACAAGCAGGCAGAGCCCTGCCAGCCACCCTTGAAATACCTGGTCCTGGGTTTAACCTCATGTGGCCCCTCTGTGGACATCAGGGTCTACTGAGATGGCAAGTTACACCTGGGCCCTCTGATCAGCCTGCTATGCAAATGCAACTTGAAGGCAGAGACTAAGGTCTGCCACCCCCATTCAGGACCCATGGTCTGGAAGATGATCTGGTAGTAGTCAGTCCTGGAGTATTAATCACTGTATTTATCAGTCTGATCACTTATGGGAAAATTGAGCACACTGGTTTAAAATCTTAGCTTAGCACGGAAAGATGTGTATGTGATCCTTCCAACCCCACAGTCATTCTCTACTTCATTGTCCTATTTGTTATCTTCACTGATGATCTGAGTTTATATTATGTATTTGCTTACCAGGTCCTTACCTATTTCTTCCCAATAGAAAGTCAGCCTTACAACGACAGGAACTTTATCTTACCCACTGCTACCTCTACGGTACTCAGAACAGTGCCTGGCCCATAGTAGGTGCTCAATAAATAATCACTGAACAAACAAAGTATTCGAAATTAGTCAAAGTATTTTTGGCAAGGGGGCAGGAACTCAACTTTGTTTAATTCCCCTCACGTTCCCGTCTTACAACAACCATACCAGGATAGGGGTGTTATCCCCATTTTATACCCGAGGAGATGGACAGCACATCTTCTCAGGCAGTTAACACAATACAAACCAGAAGCCAGAATAATAGCTGTCTGTCTCTGGGCTGAGATGATCTCTCTAAGGATGGAGGATGATGAAAGAAAACAGGGAAGGGCCAGACTGATTTGTAACTGAGAAAAACAAGATGGGCAATGAGAAACCAGAGCTTTGCAGAGGTTCAACCTCACCCCAGGAGGCTTCTGGTGTGCCAGCCTGACTTTTCTTTTAAAACTCTGCTCAAATGTCCACTTCCACTTGGGGTTTATTTCTCCTAAGAAACCATTACCAAGTTCTCTTCCTTTCTAGGGCATGCGTTCTGCACACCCACTTTGGCTCTTGGAGGGCGCGTCTGCTGTATCCGTAAGGGATGGATGGGGGTGGTTGATCCAGCGTGTGGTGTGCTACTTAGGTACCCAAAGTCCCCCACCCACAAACCTCTGCTCTACCCCACCATGCCCATGTGTCTACCCTTAGAATTCCACTTTTGGCTGAAGCATGTTTTCAGAAGGTATCTGTTAAAATACAGATTGATTGATTTACTCACTTTACCTAGGAAGAGACTCATGACTGGATCGAGTCATACATAGTCATGAGCTTGCAAGGAATCCAGTTGAAGTAGCAGAACCTGGAGTTCTAGTACCTGATCTTACAGGGGTGGACATCCTTGGAATTCTGTAGTGCTGTGGGGTCTGGCCATGGGAGAATGAATTCAAAGATACATCAAAAACAGAAGGGTCAGTCTCTAAGCAGCAAGGCATCACCGCGTAAGACCCAGACTCTGTCCAGTCCTGATTCTTACCTGCAGAGATCCAGCACATAGGTGAGCAATATCCAGAAGCCTGGGGACAGTTCAGAGAAGCTGGGTTAAGCGGGCTGAGAAGGAAGTAGGGTGCACGGCAGTCCTCAGTACCAGGGAAACCAAAACGCGGGCTGGGAACCAGAACCGGGGCATTGAGTTCAGACAGAGACTGACTGGCTGCACTGCAGCCTTATTCATGCTCAGCGACCTATTTCTGGTTCTAAGTGAAAGTGAGAAGGAGCTTCACCTCTGCTTTCATCCAGCAGCGCTGGGGACCCAACTTCTCCTGTGTCCTCTGGCTTCCCCAGTGGAGTCCCTTTCTCCCCCTCCTCACTGGGTTTCTAGTACACATGGTCCGTTCAGGTATACGATTCTGTTTGATATTACTGCTTAGTAACGGTTGGTGTGTTTATACACCTAAAATGCAAATTACCTGCCTTCCATTAGATATCTGTTTCCATTTTAAAAACGGATACCACAACTTCCCCGTGTCTTCAAGCCAAGTGAGATGCCCCTTTTATGAATTCTCACTGTATGCTGTGCTTGCCTTTCATAACTTTTGCCACAAGGTAAATAAATGATTGTTTGTGTAGTGATTTAGGTGATGTCTGTCTCCCTGATAGACTGTAAAGACAGGAACTATGTCTGTCTTATTCATGGATTTATCCCCTAGCACGTAATAGAGCTCCTGGCGCACAGTGTGTGTTCATAAATATTACATGAACGAATCAATGGATGAAGGAGGCATGGCTAGAGTTGGGACTCGACTTTGAGACCAAGGTTTCTCCACTAGACCCAGCATAATCCTAGGGCCAAAAGGTTTACCAGTTGGCCCATTCTGTTTACTCACCAGCTTGGGATCAAGTGCCTGCTTTTTACTCCCAGCCTTTTGACAACATCTGGTCATCTTTGATGTCACCCTCTTTCTTCATTCTCCTGATATCTCTGTCCATTTTCCTGTCTTTGGTATTCAAGTTCTTCCATCTCTGTTCTCTGGCTTTTGATATGGGCCTGGCCTTCTTATTTAAAGGGCTGTGAATACTCAGTTTCCTTGGTTTCTTTTATTCCTGTGCAGGCTGTGGATGTTGGATTGCTATCTTTTTCACTGAACACCTGTGAGCCCGTATCCAGCTCCTACGGAGGAGCTGCCAGTCTGGCCTCACTGAAAGCCCTATGGCCTATGATCTCTCTGTAGAATTCACCTTACTTATTTATGTGTTAGAGCCAAGGGGACATCCATTCAACACTTCCATTATAACACTGTATCAGGGAGGAAGGTATTTTCCTCTACCCTTCTAAGTTCTTCGGGCTGGTCTAAGAAGTAAATTGACATGAGACACATTAACAGGAGAAAATCAAACAAAAAGTTGAGTCACGTGAATACACGGGAGAGACAAAGGAGAACTGAGCCCTCATCTTAAATACCATCTTCAGCTAACGACAAAAGAGGATGTTGAGGATGGGAGAGTCAGTAACTCTCTGATGGGAGCTTATCAGGAAAAGCACAGTAAACAATGGTAAGGGCGTTATGCAGATTTAAGTCATTGCCTTCCTCATGGTTAAGAATTTCTAGAGATTTGGTCATCTTTCTCTTCCTGGTACATGGAAGGAGACACCCTTGCATATAGAGATTTCCCTTACAAATATAAACGTTTCTTACAAAAGGGTAACTCCTAATTAGTTTTCAGAATTTTTCCCATGTCTGCGGTTTCCTAGAAAATAACCAGCTTAAAGTAATTAATATGCCAAAGAGACAGGATTTTTTAAAGGAGGAGCTCTTTTACAATAGAAGAGAGAATTGGGATGATACATAAGACAAGGACCTCAAGATAAGCAAATTTAAAGATCACCGGGCCAGCCAAGAGTCACAGTCACATGGCAACGTGACCATGGGCAAGTCACGTAACCTTTCTGAGCCACAGCTTCCAAATATATAAAATGAAGCAACTAAATAGTTTCTTAAGTCCTTTCCAGCTTGTGTGATTCTCTAGTATTTTGAGTTTTAGAAGAAAGTTCTCGGCAGAAATATTCTTTCAAGAATAATTGCTAACTGCCCCAGCTTGAGCACAATCAGAACTCTTAATTTGTTCACATTCCAGGTTGGATTTCCATTTGTGTCTTTGACAAAATAAGTATTGGCTTTTTAGAATTTTTTAATTACCGTGAGACCAGTGTATTGACGGGGCTCTCAGAGCAATCTTAGAGCATCGGTAACTGCTTATGATTCTAGCAATCTCGCAGTAGGTTATTCATTCTTTGGTATTTGGTTTGACATTTATTTTTCTTTTTCAGCCGTATTGACTTAAATATCATTAGCCCCCAAATGCACCAAAGGGCAACTGCATTGACTTTTTTAGTTCTACTCAGCTATTACATCGTAATTCATCTTTTACGGCAAAACTTCCATTGTGAACAGGCCAGGAGGGCTGAATTTGCATCATAGTCACACCTTCCAGTAAACTGCAGAGTCTACTTTAAATGTTACAGGAGTAAATCACAAGATAGGAGAAAACACTTGCTAAACGGCAAATGATTTGAAACTTCTATTTGAGAGAGTATTAGGAGAGGAATGAATGAAGCTATGGAAGTGTATCATATTAGAAAGGGGAAACGTGTCAACCAATTCTTACAAAATTGGATGATTTCCATTGAAAAATCTCCCTAATTGATTACATGTTGCACAACATGGGTTAATTTGGGATTCAAGTAACCCAAAGGTTTCTAAAAGCCCACCAGAGAAGAGAGAGAATCTTCTGGGCAGCAAAACTAACTGTCCCTAAATAGGGTCTCTTTTATTCCATGGGGTCAGAGCCTAGAACAAAAGAAAAGAGTAAGAAAGCCTCTTTCACCTAGGAATTTAAACATTTTTGGTAAACTGTTTTCTTGAAGTTAATTTTTTCTAATTGAGACTCCAAATCTAGGGGAGATTGGGTTTGTATGGAAGGAGTCTCCCACTATCATCTTATCCTTGTTAAATATCTGTCACAATATTAAGGTGTTTTCAACTGCAAGTGAAGAGAAACGCTAACTGGTGGGTCTAACCCTAAACTGAAATGGTTTTCCCCACAATCTTTCTGCTGGGTTTGTGTGGTGAATTTTACTCTCATAATTAACCAGCCAGTGTCCTGTCTTTCGGACAAAAGAAGAGTCAGTCACAATGTGGCAAAAGCAGACAACAAAAAATAAGAACTAAGCAACAAAAGTAAAAATAAACAAATGGGCCTGCATCAAACTAAAAAAGCTTCTGTACAGCAAAGGAACCATCGACAAAATGAAAAGGCAACCTACATAATGGAAGAAACGTTTGCATCATATATCTGATCAGAATGGCTATTATCAACAAGATAAGACGTAACAAGTGTTGATGAGGGTGTGGAAAAAAGGCGACACTTGTGCACTGCTGGTGGCAATGTAAATCGGTGTAGCCCCTATGGAAAACAGTATGGAGTTTCTTTGAAAAATTAAAAATAGAACTACCGTATGATCCAGCAACTCCACTTCTGGGTATTTATTTAAAGGAAACAAAAACACTATCTTGAAAAGACACCTGCACCCTCATGTTCATTGCAGCATTATTTACAATTAGCCAAGGCATGGAAACCCTCTAAGTGTCCATTGGCAGATCAATGGATAAAGACGATGTGGTGTATATACACAATGGGGTATTATTCAGCCACAAAAAAGAAGGAAATCCTGCCTTTTGCAACAACGTGGATGGATCTTGAGGGCATTATGCTAAGTGAAGTAAGTCAGACTGAGAAAGACAAATACTGTATGATTTTTATAAATGAACTGATAGATACAGAGAACAGTCTGGTGGTTGACAGAGGCGGGGAGTGGAGGGTGGGCAAAAATGGATGAACGTGACCAAAAGGTACAAACTTCCAGTTAGAAGAGAAATAGGTTCTGGAGATAAAACGTATAGCGTGGTGACTATAGTTAACAATACCATATTGCATGTTTGAAAGTTGCTAGGATTGTACATCTTGAAAATTCTCATCACAAGCACTCACACTGTAACTAGGTGTTGTGATGGGTATTAATTAGATCTACTGTGGTGATCATTTAGCAATATATACACATATCAAACCATTATATTATACACCTAAAACGAATACAATGTTACACGTCAATTATATCTCAATAAATTTTTTTTAGGCTAAAAACTCATATTCATACAGAGATCCCACTTTGTGGGGTGTTTGTGCACTTGCACTGTCCACACCCCTCACTTCTCAGTCTTCCTTCTCTTCAGCCTCTAGAATTTCTTCCCTCTCCATAGGTCACTCATCTTGACCACAGGTCAATATCAGGATGTATGGAAGAGGGCCTTCTGAGTGGCTAACCTAGAGGGGAAGATGAGGGCTGAGTGGCAAACAGAGATGACCCATATCTGGGCACTGAGAGACACACATAGAGGTCCCAAGACCTTGATCAAAGCCTATGTTCTTTTTCAATAATAACTAAAATTATCTGCTTAATTTGGATTTCCAGTCCACAGATAATCAGAAACCAAGGCTGAGAATGAAAAATGATACCTTGGGACTTCCCTGGTGGTCCAGTGGTTAAGATTCTGCACTTCAACTGCAGGGGGTGTGGGTTCGACCCCTGGTCAGGGAACTAAGATCCCACATGCCGTGCTGCGAGGCAAAAACAAAAAAACAAAAAATAAATAAAAATGATACCCACAGGCTGAAAGTGATGATGGAGACAAAAAAATGGCTGTGAAACAGGTACAACTAAAAAACCCATAGAGCTCAGAGGGCATTTCGTGAGTGACTCACTGCCTAATAACCTCAGAGTCATTTCCTCTGTATTTTTATATTTCAGTTCCACAAGTGATACACCCAATAGGTCTAAAGCTTGGTTTTGAAAACAATAGTCTTTAGTTATCTGTAAACTTACACGATACTTAATTACTCATACCAGAAATGCCTTTAAATGAGATACCATCACCTCATGTATAGAGATAAAATCCCAGGATTAGTTGGCCTGTGTTGTGTGCACTGTTTGTCTAAATGAGGCTGCCCATCTCCTAAAATACCCTCACCCCAGAAGGCCAGCACTAGGGAAGCACGAGTGTTCCCCCTACGTCATTAGATGACAAAGGAAGAATCATACAGCTTGCCCAGCCTGGAGGTGAGCAAGACACTCAGAAGGCGCCTGCACATTTTTCTCTGAGGATGCCCAGATGGCACCAGGCCCAACGTGGAGGCTGGGACATGAATCAGAGACCCCTCGTGGCTTTTGCACTAGCAGGGCTGAGTGTCTTGTCAGCAAAGTCACTGAAGGAGGCAAAACCGCCACTGACAACACCCTTCCACTTGTTCCACACTTTTCCAACACCTTCCTCTTCTAAGGTCAAGTTCAAGGCTCACCTTACCCACAGGGCCCACCCTGACCACCTGGTCAGGTCTTTCCCTCCTCTGAAGGCTGCTCATCTTATTATCCAGATCATTCATTTGGCACTTGCCAGAGGGTTTTAGATTGTCAGCTCTCATTTGCTTGGCAAAGAGCATGGGGCCCTGAACACAGCACACCCCCAATAACTGTGACTCTTTTATTCATTGAGCAAATATTTATTGACTACCTACTATGTGTCAGCTACACAAAATCCCTGTCCCCACGGAGTTCACCATCTAGTGGGGGAAGACAAAGACAGATAAATAAAATGTATGGTACCTTAGATGGTGTAAGTGCTAAGGAGAAAAAATTGTATGAAATGTGGGCAGTGGGGGAGCTTTGAAATTTTAGATCTTATGATCAAGGAGAAGGTGACTGTGAGTAAAGACCTGAAGACGTCGGTGAGAGAGCCATACAGACATCTGGAGAAACGCGTTTCAGGCAGAGGGAATGGCAGGCAGATACCCTGTAAATTATGGCATTAACAGACATCGTTACTAACCCCTTGGAAGCAGGACTTTACTTCAACTTGAAAAGTTCTGCTTATTATATATAATATATATAGTAAGGCTGGCATTAACAGACACTATTGTTAACTTTTCTAGTATATATATATATGTGTGTGTGTGTGTGTGTGTGTATACGTATATATCGATATATATGATATTGATATGATATGCTATATGACATGGTATTAAAGGCTGGCATCAACAAACACTACTCTTGAACCACTGGGAGCAGGGTTTTTCAAGCTGTAAGAATGTAAGCCATATTAAACAAAGCTCTACCAGCCCTTAGAAGATTAGACTGACAGTCTTAAACTTTTTTGTGTCTTTGGCCATAGCTCAGGTGATACAACTCAGATTATCAGCCCCAGGAAGTCCAGTTCGCCACAGCAGGAACACTGGTCCTAACCGGTGGAAGAATAGTCCCACTTGGGGCAAGTTATCAATGAGGCTGTTAGCAAGTCCTCTCATTATCAGCTTCTGCCAGAAATTATAGTCGGGATACTTCCTTAGACGCAAGATCAATCGGCGGTGGGAATCTTGCCCATTGTGAGGTTCGGTTTCCAACTAGTCTGGAGTTGCCCCAGAGAGGCTCGATCTGATTGGTTAAGCGGTTACATCGCCCAGCCAATCAGAATATTCAAGAGACCAGTTGAAGCCCTTTTGTCTACCCTGGCGGCTGCAGTAGCTTCTGGCAATGAAGGTCAAAGTGAAGCTTGAATGTACTATTGTAACTTCCCTTTCCTTCTCTGACGGGCCAAATTAGCCACTTGCTTACTTACTTTCCTTTCATTAAAGACCCGACGTAATAACCTCAAAGCTATTGTAGAAAACAGCGTTAAGATTTGTATCCTTTGGGGAAAACTGCATGAGATGACCTGTCACTCCTCTCCACGCCTGCGCATCCCGGGCCCAGGAGCAGCCCTGCCTCTCACCCCCTCAGAGGTCCCACAGCCTTGAGGGAGGGGCTTGCATCTCACTCCACCACTTTTTTTTTTTTCACCCCTTCTCTTCTGGAATTATAGAATTGAATTTTGAAAGTCACTTTCTGCCAAGACTTTTAAAAATATCTTCTGTATGTGCTACTGCCAGACTGGGATTGATTTACCAAATAAAAGGACAGTAGAAATCTGCAGAGTCAGATCAATCTTCATTGAAAACCCAACAAACATTAAAAGGCTGCCACTAAGCAGCTAGGGGTTGAAGGCAACTCCAGCTAACTGGCGCCCATAGCACTTCTATTCACTGCCAAGTTCTAGGCAACTGGCTCTCAACCCAGCTCCATCAAATTAGGCCAGTTCTCTGTAGGGCTTGTGTTGCTGTGTTGCTAATGAGGGTGATACAGAGCACCCCTATCCCCATAGCGTTTCTTCTAGATGTAGATGCTTCCCGAAACTCGAGGATTTAAACATACTCCCTGAAATGCCAGCTGCCATTTTGTTACTTGCATTGATCAATGATGAAGAAATTACTAAATAGTTCCTGTTCTCACTAAATGGTGCAATAGCAATGCTAAAATGATTTGGGGACTGAAGGGATGGAGAGATATTTGGAGGAAGAAATCTCTTTTATATTGGTGGAACAACATACAATGATTTATGAAATCTGAGTCTTCTAAAAGACTGAAATAGGGACTTCCCTGGTGGCACAGTGCTTAAGAATCTGCCTGCCAATGCAGGGGACACGGGTCCGAGCCCTGGTCTGCGAAGATCCCACATGCTGCGGAGCAACTAAGCCCGTGCGCCGCAACTACTGAGCCTGCGCTCTAGAGCCCAAGAGCCACGACTACTGAAGCCCGCATGCCTACAGCCCGTGCTCCGCAACAAGAGAAGCCACCGCAATGAGAAGCCCGCGCACCGCAATGAAGAGTAGCCCCCGCTCACCGCAACTAGAGAAAGCAGCAACAAAGACTCAACGTAGCCAAAGATAAATAAATAAATTTATTTTATTTTATTTTATTTTTTTGGGGGGGTAGGAGTTTATTAATTAATTAATTTATTTTTGTTGTGTTGGGTCTTCGTTTCTGTGCGAGGGCTTTCTCCAGTTGTGGCAAGCGGGGGCCACTCTTCATCGCGGTGCGCGGGCCTCTCACTGTCGCGGCCTCTCCCGTTGTGGAGCACAGGCTCCAGATGCGCAGGCTCAGCAGTCGTGGCTCACGGGCCCAGTCGCTCCGCGGCATGTGGGATCCTCCCAGACCAGGGCACGAACCCGTGTCCCCTGCACTAGCAGGCAAACTCTCAACCACTGCGCCACCAGGGAAGCCCAATAAATTTATTTTTTAAAAAAAAAAGACTGAAATAGAGTGATTCTCTTTGTAAATTCTC